AGCAAAGATGGGTGTCATGTTTCTGAAAATAGAGAATGCTGTTTTAGGAATATTTATAGAACATCTCTTAGGGCTGGAAGGGAGCTCAAGAGGTCACGTAGTCCAGCCCGTTCAAGGCGGGATCATCCCTGACTAAACCACCCCAGCCAAGCACGTGTCTAACCTGCTCTCGAACGTTTCCAGGGATGGAGATTCCACGTCCTTTCTAGGATGCCTGCTCCAATGATCACCGGTCTCATAATGAGGAAGTTCCTCCTAATCTCCAGCCTAAATTTTCCCTGCTGCAGTTTGAGCCCATTGCTCCTAGCCTTTGCCCTGTGGCCACAGGGAACAGTTGATCTTCATCCTCTCTGGTATTTGAAGACAATCATCAAATCCCCCCTCAGTCTTCTATTCTCCAGGCTAAACAATCCTAATTTTTGCAGCCTTTCCTCATAAATCATGTCTGCCAGGCCTCTGTTGTTTTGTCCATCTCCACTGGGCTCTGTCCAACACCTTTATTCAAGTGTGGGGCCCAACACTGGACACAGTACTCCAAGTGAGGCCTCGCCAGTGTTGAACAGAGCAAGAGAATCACTTCTCTTGATTTGCAAGTGACACTCCTGTTAATATAACGCCACCAGCCTATTTTTGCAACCAGAATACTGTTGGCTTCTATTCAGCTCCACCATAACCCCAGATCCTTCTCTGCAGCACTGCAGCCTCACTAGTCATTCCCCACTCTGTATTTGGGCATGTGACTGTTCCATCCCCAGCACAGAACTTTGCACCTGTCCTTGCTGAATCTCATCCGACTGACTGAACCATTTTTCCATCATCCAGGTCATTTGGGATCCCAGCCATACCCTCCAGCGTCTGCAACTCCACCCAACTTGGTGTCATCTGCAAATTTGCTAAGCATGCACTCACTCCCGTTGCCCAAATCCATTAATGTAGATAGTAAGCAATACCAGATCTAGGACAGACCCTTGGGGAACTGCACTTGATACCTCCTCCCAACTGGGCTGAGCCATCTCCACACATCAGCTCTCTGTGATAATATTTTCCCAGGATTATGTAACAGGATTATAATGCTTTTATGGGAAGGTCATGGGGCAGGGGGGAAGGAGTGTATTCCTCTTAATATAGGCCGCAGTGCAGCAGACCATGTAAGCACATGGCTAGCTTAGTAAAGCACTAGTTACACAGACAGATGCACACACACCCACAAGCTTTCCTGAATCAGGACCTGAACTCATTCATTCGGTGGATCTGTTTCCCCATTGAACAAGTGCAGAGTGCTGAATTTTAACCATTTTGAAATAGTTCAGTCAATTCTTTTTTTTTATAGGTCCTGATCACATCCCCTTAGACTGGATGACATGTAGCCAACATCATTAATTCCAAGGGAGGGGTGTCAGGTATCTGACCCATTAAGGTGGGGCATTTGGCCATCTGGCTGACCTGGACAGACTTGCAAGGTGGGTGGATCAAAACCTGATGATGTTTAACACGGAGAAATGTAAAGTGCTCCCTCTCGGGAGAAATAATCCACAACACACTTACGGGCTCGGCAGTACTACACTTGTCAGCAAAACTGAAAGAGACCCGGGGGTCATGACTGACCACAGAATGAACACGAGCCACTAATGCGGTGCCGGAGCTGGCAGAGTGAATCAAACACTGGCATGTACCTACTGATGCATCTCAGGCAAGACTAAGGATGTCATCCTCCCACTCTACTTGGCCTTGGTGAGACCACAGCTGGAGTACTGCATCCAGTTCTGGGTGCCACACTACAGGAAGGATGTGGAGAAGCTTCAGAGTCCAGAGGAGGGCCACACGCATGATTAGAGGTCTGGAGAACAGGTCATACGAGGAGAGGCTGAAAGACTCGGGACTCTTCAGTCTGGAGAAATAAAGACTTAGAGGGGACTTGGTGGCAGCCTATAAGTGTATAAGGGGTGTGCATCAGGGCCTGGGGGAGTATCTGTTCCCCACCCCAGGGGAAGACAAGAAACACTGGACACAAACTGATTGAAGATCGCTTCAGATTGGACATAAGGAAACATTTCTTTACGATTTGAGTGCCTAAGGTCTGGAATAGAGTCCCCAGAGGTGGTACAGGAATGCACAGGAAAGAGTCAACATTTATATAAGCAGAAACTAAAAGTTGTGGGAGAAAATTCTTTTCAACCTTTTCAGAAGCAATAAAATAAAAAGGGGAGTGAAAAAAATAAAAAAAACATTTATTTATTTGTCAGCATACTGCATGAACAGGTTTGGATTTTGTACAGAAAACAGAGTCCATGAGATGCTACTAACCAACAATGGTATTTTAGACTCACATTTCAGGTTTGCAGAAACCATGATTTGGATTAGACAGATTTTATTTTTTTTAAACCCCAATTTAAATCAAAACTACTCAGCCTCCCCCATTTTCTGTGTGTGGAACTAGACAATGACAGATCAATCCACTTTCAGAAACCTAACTGGCACAATACATAGCATATGTATGAGATGTAATATTTATTTGGTTTTAATAAATAGTTTAAAGTGTCATTTAATATTCCAGGGAAAGAAATGTGCTTTTGAAATTTTTGTACTGGCTTCATCCCAGCAGAACGGGAGGGAGAAAAGAATGATTCAATCTCCTGGTTTACATTACCAAACTGAGTATCTACACAGAAACATGCATGCGAGGTCTGGCATTTTCAAGAAATGCTATGAACAAACGGATACAGTAGGGTTGTTTAATTTCTTCCATTTGCAAGAGTCTACAATTATAGTCTCATCTCCAAGCTTTACAGTGCATTTACATTAGCAAAAAAACTTTCCCTGCTCCTTGCATCTGTGTACATCAGCATCATTTACAAAAATGTTATCCATAGTCTTACAAACATGATTTTACATTTTAATACAGAGGAAAATATATAGTTCTCTGGCACTTCATTTCCTCCACAGTACCTGTATGCCAATCCAGAACACTTGTCAAGGCATGCTTCTGGAAACCTTACAGGAATGTGGACTGATCTACAAGCCACAGCCTCTGCAGCTCCAAAGTTTTAAATAATGAGAAGATTTGCCACTGTTTTGTATAACAATCAACAGTTTATTAATGGATATGGTGAAGTTTTTTGCTATCCACCGAAGATGTGTAAAAAATTGCCAGAAAGTAAAAATAAATAAAGCTGTTCTCAAAAATCAGTCTCGTTTTACATCTCAGTTCTGAATGCGACATTTAACACAAAACTGTCATTAAAGTTTTAAGGAAATGTACTGATACTCAAATTACAGCTTGTATGACAAATCTAATGAGAACTGAATCTGATTTGGTTTTAGATTTCAAAGACTTTCACATTCACATACAGTGTCTTGTTTAAGCACAATACTTCCTTGGACAGTGATGGGCAACAGTGATGACATATTGCTGTATTCTGACATAAGGCACTATGATATGAATATGCCATACACTTGCCTTATGTCACATATATCCATTGCTGACCAGTGACTTCTGTCAAATACAAAATGAAAGAGTTTCAAAATACAGTGCATTTTAATGAAGGACATCATGTGAAGTCTTTCAGCAAATGTTTTGAAGACATTTTGAAATACAAGCCTACATTTTAACATATAAGCTTTCGTCATGCTGCTTTTTTGCGACATCACTGTGGGGAAACAGACTCATTACCCATCACTAAGTCCCAATGCACATTCTCCACTATTCTGCTCTTTTCTATTGCAGTCAGTGTTCTTGAGACAAACTTGACGCAGAAACTTTGTTCAAGTTCTCCTACAAAGGTCTGTACATTCACAGCAGTCATTCAGCTTCACTCTCCTTTTGTTTGGCACCTGTTAATAAAGAGGAAAAACAAATTCAGACCATGCAAATACATGCAGATTCCTTGCTGACACTATGTCGCAGTTGTGGGACATCACTGAAAAGCACCGCTTGCTTTGGAACATATGGCATGTCCTACCAGGGACTGACTGGCCAGTGCACAGGGTTTGATCCAGCGTGGTGGACCTACCCTGCCTGCCACCCTACATGCAGGATCTGGCCTCTGGACTGATCTTGCACCAGACACCCAGCCCACAGGCCAGACAGGTTGAGGATTACGGAGCTAGTCTGTATTATAGGTTACGTGCATCTCCTCTTGTACAGGTGTAAGCAGAGCTAATGAATGAAACAGGTTTAAAATGATAGTGCTTTAGCTCTGCTTATGCCCATACAGGAGCAGACAGATGCTGGAATAACTGAGGTGTGCTCCCAAGCACCAAGTCCCCCCTTTCCCTTTTTAAAATGACTGAATGTTAAAATAATTGTCTGTCCCTGGCCTCTCTCAGACAGGCACTGAACAATTGGTGATAATTTTTCAGCCTCCTTTAGGAAGTTACTGGGAACCTGTGCCAAAGGTCCTTGGCAGGTTTTTTTGGTTGTGTAATTGCTTGAGCCAATATCAGCACTAAGGCATCCTCCTGAAGGTGTATTTGAGACTGAGCCAGAGGACCATACCCAAATTGCACTGTGGGTTCACCAGTTCCTTTGGTAGAGAAGAACATCTTGATTAACAGCGCGTGCTACCATCCCAGAGGCACAAATGATGCAGAGGTGAAAGATCTGTTCAGTGTACAAGATTTCCTCTGACCCCTTCATCACCACCTCTGTGGGCAAGCTGTAGCATCAAGCTCTTCCTCCTCTCTTCCAGTCAAACTGCACGAGCTGAGCAATGATGGAGTTATACTCAAAGGGAGCTCAGACACCCGACTCTAGAGGCCACAGCTCTAAGGCACTGGGGGAGGCTGAATGGTGCATGGCTGTACACTATGTTAAGTACAACAGGCCCTGTTCCCCACATCCAGCAGTCTCTCTGGTAGAGGAGAAATCCCTCAGAAAAGCTGGATTTCCTTGCATCTGCTGGACTGAGGTAGACAGAATGGCTAATCTCAGACTAAATGTAGTAACCCAGGCACAAGTGAAAGATGCTAGTCAGATTTATGGTTAGGTGTTTTTGTTGAAGGAACACATTCAGCTCTAACGTAGCCCAAGGTACAGGCAACTTTTGTTTTCGTCTTCCCTCCTCCAAGAAAATCCAGCATGTTTGACTTCAAACACTCCAAAACTGTTACTTTCGTGCCCTGCTAAATGTCTACAAATTGGCAATCACTATGTATTGGCTGATCCAAGAGAAGTGCAAAACTGCCACCAGCATGAGTTATGGAACCAAATCACTATATTGGCCCTGTTGTGTTATGCTAGTTCTAGCTGGACACCCCACTACAAAGTGCTGGGGCCCCCACCGGGTGGTTTCAGAGATGGGCTGGGCGCTAACAGAACTATGAGCTGGCCAAGAGGTCTCATGTCAGCTGGTGACGCGAGTTGGAGCTGCCTGTCACTGCCCTGCGATAAAGAACAGCTCCAACAGCAGAACCTGCAGGATCTGCAGAAGCTGGTGCCATCCCCTCTTGTCAGCACGGAGGCGGAAAAGGATCTTGGAGTCATCACTGACTCCAAGATGAACATGGGCCAGCAGTGTGGGGAGGCAGTTAGGAGGGCCAACCGCACCTTGTCATGCATCCACAGATGCATCTCGAGCAGGTCCAAAGAGGTGATCCTCCCCCTCTATG